ACAACAACAACAACAACAACAACAACAACAACAACAACAACAATAACAACAACAACAACAACAACAACAACAACAACAACAACAACAACAACAACACCTCTTGAAACTTGAAACCTAATCGCCGTTCCTTTCTGTTTCATCAAATTTAAACTGGGTCTAATGTCATTGTGTTTGTTGTGGACAAACATCCTTGAAACAAACAGACAAGATCTTCTTATGTTGAATTGTTCCCTGCTTCATTCGCCTCCTTCACGCTGCTCAACTCTGTCCACTCTAACGAAAGAACGGGGAAACGACTTGACGACGCAATTCCCCTCTCAAACGATGTGACGTTTCAGGGCTTCTGCAATTTGTCTGACTTAACTGTTCTTGCCTTCAATTTGGTTTCTGGCTATAGTATCTTACATTTTCGCTGCACTTAACGACCTTTGTTGTTCCGATGTGCTTGTCTTCTCTCTCTGTCGTTTTTAAGTTTGTCCAGAGAGGGTTTACATTAATAGTATTACTGTAAACTCTCTGGTTTGTCTATGTAGCTCGTTGATTTACTGACGTCTGTGGTGTAATGATTACAGCGCGGTTTAAAATTCGTGGCGCAACGTATATTGTCAACTTTCTCCTTAACTATCGAACATAGATTCTCATACTTTTTCGCAATGACTTATAGCAATTGGTCTCAACAGATGAATATTTTTTTCAGAAACCTGGACACTGTATTCTAGAAATTTCCTAAATAAATGCAAATATCAAATCCCAGTTTATTTTTTCTACAGATTTTTAAGTTTACAGCTGGGACAATATCGATTTTAAAAGCAGTTTAACACGTCCGTCATTTTTTTTCTAATCGCGAAATTATGCTTATTGAACACATATTTTGGGAACCTTCAGTGCAAAAAATATGTTCACAATACAATTAATTATTAATGTCTTGTAAAAAGTGTGTCCGCTAAAAACTGTCATTGATTAGCTGTGACGTAGGCTATTATGTGTATGCAAAATGTGTTTGAGAAGCGAGAGCTGTGCACAATTTCATTTTCCGCGTGACGAAGATTTTTAACATGTAGTATTTTATATAAATTCATGGAGAAAAGTTGTTTATTAGATCTATAGCTTCAACTGTTGTGAAAAATTAATGATGATGTCAAGACAAATTGATACAAACTGCTGTGCAAAGTATGGGTGACATTGATTCAGCCGTTAGAGAGATTTGAGGATAAGTTCAGCCTTGAAAGTGTTGGCCACACTCTAGTTTCTTGGCCTCACTAACAGAAGACGTGAGTTTGATCCCATCGTTTGAGGCAGATATTTCACTCAATGCCTAGGTCTTTCTGATGAGTGTTTGTTATAATATAAAATCAGTTTTGTTAAACCTTTGCGAGAAAGATCGCAGTTGTACTCGTTCTAAGTGATCCTCCGCGCGCGCGCGCGCGCGCGCGCGTGTGTGTGTGGGGGGGGGGGGGGGGGGGGGGGATTTGAGTTGGACAGAAGAAAAGAAAACATGCAGACAGGTGGTTGTGATGTGTGAGTGGTGCCCAGCCAAAGGAGGGGTGGGTTAAAATCGTCATCAAGCAAGTAAATTGGGATCCTTATAGAATTCGGTCCTTTTCACATAGCACTTGAGTACACCAGACTTATGTGCATATTTCCGAGAGAAAAAAATAGATGTATTTTAAAGACGATAGTTTAATTAAAGGAATCCGCCAGTCCCGCGCATGCTCATCTTGAAGAAACAATTAATATAGGGGCGGGGAAGATAAAACAGGATAACACTCACACGTTTGTTTGAAGTGGCCTGTTTCACCCCAAAATGTGGATGAATAATACCCCCCCCCCCCTCTCCCAGTAAAAGAAAATAAAAACAAAACAACCCGCGTCCTTTCTCATCCTACACATGCCCATACTTCTTGCACGCACACAGAACAAACGCGCGCGTGATTTATGATAAAGTGATTAGATCTTGCGCGCTGTACGCAAGTTGACCGCTGGTATTGGATCGTCGTTACCCTGATGTATCGTGGCAACTTCCTTTTCATTAATTTGTTTTGTCTGATCTAAATAACTCTTTGAGATCGGAATTTCGTTTATCCCCTTATTGTTGGGCGATTATGGAAAACAGAAGGGGGGGGGGGGAGAGAGAGAGAGAGAGAGAGAGAGAGAGAGAGAGAGGGAGAGAGAGAGGGGGGGGAGAGGGAGATAAAACGAGAGAGAGAGAGTGAGATAAAACGAGACAGAGAGAGAGAGAGAGAGAGAGAGAGAGAGAGAGAGAGAGAGAGAGAGAGAGAGAGAGAGGGCCACTACACGTAACCTGCAACAATTAGAGCGCGCTTCTTTCGGGGATGAATGAAAAAACGAGTAACCTTGTTACTGTATCGCGTTCTGCAGGGAACCGAAAAATTGAATGGCTCTCTTCATTTTCGATCTTCTTTTAACTAGAGCAATAGAAGCATCCCGTTGACGTAAGCTTTCTAACAACGTTGCTTATTTTTCATTATTTTACTACGCGCTTGGCTATCGGCAACGTTTTTGCTCTGGTGCCAGATCGATCGGCGAAATCATCTCAGGTCAGTGTGACCTCACCTGTACATTGCATTCTGGGACATTCGAAGGTAGTGAATGTTGCATTCTGGGACATTCAAAGGTAGTGTTGTTGTGGCCAATGAGAGTGGATCTATTCTGGTCACCGAGCAACTGATGCCAAAGTAGTCATTCACTACCTACTCCGTGTTTTCATCATTCTCTCTGTGACTTGGCCCCGCCAAAGGTTGTGAGACCGAAAACCAAGAACCTCTTCTTAGACTTCTACCTCAAGTGTACGGTGAGTTATTTCTTTATTTCAGAATGATTTGGAATTGTTACTGTAGAATTGCTAAAGTGGTAAATACGGTTATTGTTGACCGTGCCGCAGACTGCTCGTTCGCAAAAACACAAAACACGCACGTTGGTGTTAACGAAGCGTGACGAGCATTGATTCAGGAGTCGTAGTGGACTTTGTCCAGACTGGCATTATGATTATTAGTTTGTATTATAAGATTCTAAGGCATTTCTTGGCTCTTTAAGCCAGTCTAGTTACAGAATGCACTAGATCTAGATCTAGAGTCTAGATGACTAGAATCTTGGGTATACAGGTTTCAGTGCTGCTTTGAAGGTCCTGACACTTACTCTCTCCTGTTTCAGTTTCAGTTTCATTCATGACTTTTTGGCACTGATCCCCCCAAGCCTGCTTCATGGCTCCAAACAGATTGGTCCAAGGGCTGAATAATATATGGGAAGCATGGCTCTCTTTAAACAGTAAAGCAGTATCTTCTCCTTGATGCACAGTTCGATCACCTCAATGTTTGAAGTGTGCGAGGTGTGGCCTTTGACAAACAGCACGCTGGTTTCTTTTTGTGAGCGACAGCTGATAGATCTAGATTAAGACTAGATCTAGATCTAGCAGTCCCTGAGCCAGGACATACATCTGTGTTGATCTATCCATTAGGAGATGTAGATCTAGATCTATATCTGAAACTTTGCCCCTGGGAAGCCAGCCATGAGATCTAAAGCAGGTCGGTGATCTTGTAGAATGTAGTTCCAAAGTCCACGATCCATGTGTTTTGTTTACATCCAGAGAATCAGAGAAGAAATCCAGAAGTCTTGATGACCAAATACTAGATTATTTTAAATAGGCTACACAAAGAGGAGGGATGCAACCTAACTGCAAAACATCAAATTAGAATAAAATTCAGAGGGCATGCCCCCCCGAAACTCCCCCACCTCCATATTTTTATTAGGTCAGGGGAGGCAAGCCCCCCTGAAACCCCCCTGTACTTTAACGAACGAAACTACAAAATGGCCAGCAGGTCTCCTCTTTTAGAGTAAGATGATAAACGGTTCAATTTAGTGGCTGTTGGCAGAGCAACTCTCAAGTACAGTGATGCTCTGCTTGGTGTTGCTAGAAGGGTTAAAAACATACTTACTGCCTTTTGCTGCTATCACTTTTTGGGGCACAGATGGAGACCCATCTCATCCTCATTGTACAGACGATCCAGTGATATGATGAGAGTTGGATCCACTCTGTCGAAATACTCTTTCATTTCACGAAACCAGGCAGCCAGTCCGTCCGGCATTACCAGGGCTCGCTCCTTTCCAAGAGCAGATGACGTCCTCTGGGAAAAGTCTGGATTTCGTTTAAAGGAATCCTTCAGCTACTATTTGCTAGGACGGTTGTCAGGGCTACTCGTGGCTGCCTGGCGTGCATCCAGGATAGCCTTGAGGGTGCCCATTCATTATGTCCTTCTTTGATTTCCCAAAGCCTCTCCTGGTGCACACTCCTTCAGCCAACTGGCAAGCTTTAACTTCCTCTTCCCCAGTGAGTAGGTTACGCGGCTGAGGGTTGACAGGCCGTCTGCCTCGCACTTGTCCCCAAGTGTTATATGTATTATGGAATGCCGAAAGCTTTGCTGGCTACATTCAGGGTCATGTCTTTGACAGCTTGTATGGCCACCAGCAATGTGGCTTTCATGTAGGGATGTCGCGGTACTGGTACCATGATGTTGAATAAACGGGGGGATGGAAGGTATCCATTAGAGAGCAGAAAAAAATTCTTCCTGTAAATGAACGTGGAAGTAGAGTTACTAAAGTTACTTAGATTCTAGATAGTAGATAGCTTAGAAAATTGTCGGTGTGACTGTTGAGACGTCAGGGACACGGTAAGGAAGATCATCATTCTGAGAAAAAATCTCTAAAACAACAAACTACCAGACTTTGGGGGGTGCTAGCGTTAGAATTTGGACGTTAGAGAAATCTTTTTATAGGTGCTTATCGTGATCTTTTAATGTTCTGGTATCTGCATTTATTGCCGTTTTTTTGTCCAAAGGTTGCCCCAATTTCCTTTTATTTTCAAGCTCTCTACTCTCTGTGACGACGTATAGCAATATATGTTGATAGAGGTAACTTTTACCTATAGCACCAGAATTTCTTGTGTCCTGTTTTAAGTATCCAGAATATCATTTGTAGCCACACGAGTGTAAAAATGGGAAAAATTTATAAAGGTTTCACAACAGAAATAAATCAAAATCAGAGCAGTACTTAAGCAACCACAAAAATTAACAAATAAGAGCGTGTGTCCACCTTTCCGAAGATTGGCCGTTTTAACCCTAAGCTTAATTCAAGAAAAAGTTCAGAATGTTACATATATATGCAAATTATGGAATCACACTCGAGGGTCCTGCCAGTGTCAGTATTTGGTTTTGGTGGAGACACGCCCTGACATAACACATAATATAAAAATAAAGGTTGGAACATCAAATTAAATTACATTTCGCTATATGAACATACTTTAAAATACAAAAAAAACCCACATCGGAACAATAACCAAAAAAAATAACACACAATCAAATTAAAACACAACAAGGAGGGGCAAATAAAAGAGATACAGCAATGTATGTTATGTACTTCACATGAAAACAACAAATCAACGTGCGTGTCAACAAGTGACAAAGAGACGAAGTGAAGTGGGAGTGAAAATAAACTTTCTTTCCAAAAAGTAAAGAGGTTCAGTCCCTTTTTTTTAATGTTAATTCCCCGGGTATTTCCCCCTTCTTTTATTCCCCGGCAGTGGGTTTTTTTTTTAATGCAAAAATCACGGCAGCGATTCGCGGACCAAATAATGCACAAAAAAAACTGGGCCGCGTTCGTTGATCTTTGTGGGTATAGATGTTTTTAAAATTTCTTAAAGACTACAGGGGGATAATGATAATGACGGTAGTCACAAACTGAAAATCGTGAGGGCACCAATTCTGAACGCTTGTTGACTCATAAAACTATTTCTGTTCAACTGTTGGTTGATTATTGTTGTTCGATTTCCCATTCAACAAGACTTACCAATAAACCAGGAGTCAAACAAGAAGTTATATTATGAGTCCACAAGCTTTTAAAATTGGCATCCTCACAACCTCCAGTTTGTGACTACCGTCGTTTTTCCCCTGTACTCTTCATTTATAATGCTGTTTAACCCAGATAGGTGGAAAACAGATTACTCGAAATCACGCATCCATGGAACTGTGCCTGCGGTCCTGTTTTGGTTATTTTTTTTCTTTGTCTTTTTGTTAAAATATTGCAGGAAGCTCGAACTCAAACACGGAATAGTCAAACTAATTCTACTATGCAGCTGTAGAGGTCTAAAATCTATCATGTCCATTGTGGTGTACTTGAGACATAATAATGATAACGGAAACCGGCAGGTCAGAAGCAGCTAGCTGTGCTATTGTGAAGCAGGTGAGAGGAGAGGTTGTGCATCACACAATCGGCCGCCCCACCCCTCTTTACAAAGGACTTAGCACTTGGTGGGAGAGGCGGGTTAGGGCTGCATTGTTTCGTCATCACGTTGTTGATTACTGTTGCGATGGTTATCTTGCCAAATTGTTTATGTTTTGAAAATTTTGAAAAGGCACCATTCGGTTAATGCAGACTAAAGATCGCTGACACTGACCCACGCAATTAAACTGTCTTGGTACCGGTAGGCTTATTAAATCGATCGAACTTGAAAGCGTTGCTCATCGTGTTTCTCATTCTCAATCTGTCAATTTCAAATTCAAGTCAATGGGCATGGATCAGACAATGGCTGAGAGAAAAATTTCTGTTCTGGCATCTTTGTTGCATTCTTTGATTCTCTGACACAGCCGATGCCATTATAACACAGTTTACGGATCCCTCAAATTACCGAGGCAGGTCCCGACGAATTCAAGGAATTCAGGTTATACATGTAAAACTATTAATGTAGGGTGCTGTAAGTGTAAGTTGAGCTTTAAAAGTTACTAATGCTCGAGTCTTCTCTGTTCGACCTATCCGTTTTATACTGTATGTTTGATGAATTTGATGGGACGCATGATATTTCAACTGTCCTTGTCATCCCATGGTATTCATGGTTTAGTTTCAGAGGTGTAATATTTTTTCCACCCTTTATTTTTTTACAGATCTGGTCAATCATCATGTCTGAAAGAAAGGCTGTTATCAAGAATGCGGACATGTCCGAGGACATGCAGCAGGATGCTGTGGACTGCGCCACACAAGCCCTTGAGAAGTACAACATTGAGAAAGACATTGCTGCCTTCATCAAGAAGGAGTTTGACAAGAAATACAACCCCACCTGGCACTGCATCGTGGGCCGCAACTTCGGCAGCTACGTCACTCATGAAACGAAACACTTTATTTACTTCTACTTGGGACAGGTGGCCATATTGCTGTTCAAGTCAGGGTGAACATTTTCGCCGCCCCCTAGAACTGTTATTTTAAAACATGACATTTTATTACTTCTCACATCAAGGCCAGTCATCCACCGTTCTTTGACCTGAGGGAAGTCTCCACCATGTGATATGAACAAACCAAAAATTTCAATGTTTTGGACTAACCTTTGAGCTTTTCCGTTGTTTTTTTCTTTTTTTTTGCAGTCCGTGCCTAACCATTTCAGTTTTGGAATTCGAATTTTGAAAGTAAAACTTTGAACAGGACTTTCTTCCATCTGATTTTTTTTTTCTGTGCAAGTCTTTGTTGGATGTTTTTATATGAGCGGACTAAATATGTACAAAAGTGTGTGTGTTCAGGAGTACTTGGCAGTATGGGAAATGTCAGTGGGCACATCATGTAGACAGGGGATGTGAGTCTGTGAGTGTGAGAATGAAATGTCTGATGTTGCAAGTGGGAGTGGTTTGGTCATAACGAATGTGTAATAAAAGGACATGATGTAATATAATTCACTTCCAGTTTTTTGCCCGTGTTCGTTTTGTAGCATGACGGTACTGCATGCCTATAATCCTATGCTTGGGGGAAAGAATTTTGTTGTCGTTTTAGGTTTTCCCTTTTTCATCTAAATGACAGGTGGTGGTCTACTGTCATATATTAATATTAGCAACCTTATCATTGCTGCAAAGGTTCCTGGTGACTCAAAACTGGTACCGGTAGGTTCAATACTGCCCATTTCATTTTCAGTTGGACATTGTATTGGCTTGAAGTTCACTCTTTTCAATTTTCAGCACGAAAGAAATCAGGTCCTTTAAAATGTAAGCACCAGCTTTGTCTTAGCTGCCATGTCGAGCATACAAAAATATAAGTTGCCTTTTTCTAGCGCTTTTTTTATTTCACAGCCTAGTACACTGGAACTCCGAATCAACAAAATAGGCCTGCCTTGGATTCTGAGAACACACATGATAAATGAGCCAGATTCGACAGTCACAACACACCTTGTGTACTCTATTCCAAGAGACCTTCGATTGTGCATGTACCGTGGCTCATTACAACATGTTTAGTCTAGTCTATTGCATACGTCTTATGTGTCTAATCAGAAGCCTTCTTTCACATCAACACATGAGTTGACGCGTGGGTATAATGTTGTAAAAAGACATAATTTCGCTACCCCAGAATTTTTAAGTTCTATTATATTTGCTCAAGAGTCAATAGCTTGTTTTGAAAAATTTGACGTAAAAAAAAAAATTCGTTTTACAATGTCGGAACTTTTTCGAATGAAATTCTTTGAATTTATATCTTGATAACTCTGAATATGAATTCTTACGATTTTGATAGGGCAGACAGTTGAGACCTGACAGAGCATTTGACTTCTGACCTCATGGTCTTAGTTACTCAAAACGGCTAGAATTGTCAGATAGAACTTTGTAATTCTGAGGTACCGATGTATCTTGGCGTGTGCTGGGTCAAAAGAGGTTGGTTGGGCGTGGAAAGTCAGGAGAGAGTCTCTTCACAATCATGTCCACCCCTCCCCCTAGGCTACTGGACAGTGAGAAAGTGAAAGGCTAGTCTACTCCTAAGACATAGAATGTAAAAATCTACGTAGTGAATTGCGCTGTGGTCTCTATGGAAATGGATGCTGCTGTATCATACTGTAGTAGTACTGTATACCAGTAGGCCTACTCACACAAAGCGGCAGCTTGTTGCTCATATTGCTAATGTATTATAACATAACGAACACTCGGATTCAACAAAATCTACGCAGGTCGGGCCTGTGGGCTTTGAAGGGTTTTGTGTACACATGATATGTAGATCTATAGGACATGATGTACCAGATCAAAGGCAGGGGCTCGAGTCGGCCAGATTTTCCAAGAGAAAATGTACCCTCTTTGGGGTCCCAAATATAATGACTTTAACTTTAATTGAGTTTAATGATCCTGCTTTCAAGTGGCTTTCTTTATAATCTACACGAAATCACTAAACTTGGTAAATCTAGATCTATACTCATGTAGTGTAATTAAATTACATGTAAATAATTGCATTTCTAGCGCCCATCCACGTTTTGCAGCGTGCTCTATGCGCTTTACAACCTTTACTCCTTAATCGTTACAATTACAATTACATGCATTACCTCAGAACTCTGAGAATCAGAAATATTCTCGGGTTCCCAGGAAGCATACAGTGCAAGACTGCAAGCTGCAGATTTCACGCACACATAAACCATAAACACTAACTATAGCGCGGTCAAAAATTTGTTGTGCGACTTGTATACGGTAGGCCTACATGTAGTAGTAGTAGTAGTATACTACTTTATATATAAAATCTCCTCAACTACCGAACATATGTTCTCCAATTTTTGCAGTGACATGTAGGCCTACCTATCAATTTGTCTTAACAGATCAACATTTTTGTAAACACCTGCAAGCTGTATTCTAGAAAATTTCTTAATAACTAATTTTTAAAATCCAAGTGGGTGGTTTCTACCTATTTTTAAATGTTTACAGCTGGGATAATATATATATAGCTTATAAATTTAAAATGGCAAGTCCGTCATGCTTTTCTAATCGGGACATTATAATATTAGAAAAGACACATAGAATCTAATAATGCTTTTGAACGCATGTTTTGAGAGCCGTTAGTGCAAAAATGTGTTCACCATATATATATATAAATAATAATTTCTTGTATTGTAACACGTTTAGCAAGTGAAGATTGTCTTTGATGAGCTGTTACATAGGCCATATTGATGCATAATAAAAATGTTTGTGAGAAGCGGGAAGTGCTGTGACTGAACAATACCATTTTACGCGTGACAGAGATTTCAAGTTCAAGTATTTTATATAGGGTTAAAAATGTACCGATGAGTATGAGGAATTTTTTTTAAAAGTAGCCTACCCTTAATATAGCCCCAATTGTTATTTATAGAAAAATATGATTCAGTGATTTAGTTGAGACAAATTGATAGGCTACAACAATGTACAAACTGCTATGCAAAGTATGGATGACATTGATTCACCCGGAAGTTAAAGTTAGAGATATTTGAGGATATGTTGCACCAGGAATTTTTGACCGCACTAAACTTGACAAACTAACAAAGATCTTTCACTGTCTATAGCCGGGTAGGCCTACCCATTTCTACTTGGGTTAAGTGTGGAAAATTCACGTATGTTAAGTTGTAAGTAATGTAAGGCGCTTTCCCAAGAACACAACATGATATAATAATTTTAATGAGAATCAGCTATAGTTCTACTAGAACTTCTAATCAAGGCACCATCATAAATAATTCAGATGAAATAAGGGGCGGGCTGCTTCAACTTTGCTTCTCAGTGTGGAGTGATCGCCGAAATCTGTACGGACCGCCACTTTTTCCGAGTTCCCGATGATGTCACGTTTCTAGTTTCTGTTGTGCACCTGGATCATGCTGTCTGAATTTTCATATATATATATTATGAAACCTAAAATTCAGTAAAATATTGTCCAGACGACTCATGCTCAGGCATTCTAAAAATATCTCAGACTTCAACTTCGGGCAAAGAGATTCTCTTCTACTACTAGTACTTGTAGTTAGTAGTAGGGTCTACTAATACTACTATGTATCGTATCAGTAATCTAGATCAATGGACGAAGAAGAGGTTCAGTGGTGATTGGTATGTTATGTATCATTGTAGCATAATAGGCCTACATGTAAACGGCGACGAGCCTGATGTCGATGAAGGGTGCATTATATTAGTATTAGAAGAGTCCAGTCCACCTAATGGACGAAATACACAATATCATGTAGGCCCCACATTGCACTAGGAAGCCAACTTTATTTTCAACCAGCATTTATTATTAAAACCCTTTCCCCACCGGCATAATACAAAATTTTCATATATATATATAAAATTTGATTCCTACTTCCTACAGGCTGGGTGGTTCACACCCGTACACTTTGGTAAGGAAATTGGGTGGTCCACACCCGTACACTTTGGTAAGGAAATTGGGTGGTCCACACCCGTACACTTTGGTAAGGAAATTGGGTGGTCCACACCCGTACACTTTGGTAAGAAAATTGGGTGGTCCACACCCGTACACTTTGGTAAGGAAATTGGGTGGTCCACACCCGTACAAATTCACAAGGCGGTGCAAAGGCATTCGGCACTATTTAAATTTTATGGGGGTTTTTTTAGTAAGCGTTTTACAGCAATTTCAACACAGTTAAGTCTTTGGGAAGTTAGTGCCAACAATTAGAGGTGTTCAAGAGAGTAACAGACACAAAAAAGAGAAGGAGAGATGGACGATAGATTCTGACAGTGACAGGAAAGAAGGAGCAAACCACACTAGAGTACCCGCCAACCACCTACTGGCAATTTCTTGTTACAATGTATGGCTACGCAAGTGCTGAAGAGTGACTGGTCCTGATTCCAAGTACGGTAGCTACCTTTTGTTAGATCTACTGTTACTGTTACACTACACAGGCAGGCTGACTGGTGATGAGGTCTGGTGTCAACAACCTGGGGCAGAAAGTTTTCTAAAAAAAAAACCAGAAACAAAAACCCAACAACAACAAAACCCACAAAAAAGTCAGTCACCTGCTAAAAATCACACCAGATTTGATGACAAAAAAAGCAGGACACAACGACGAGCCAGGGACAAGTTTGCTCCCATCCACGATGTTTGGGATGTCCTCCACACCAGACTAGCCTAGCTCTATATAAGCACTGCCACTTTGGGCAGACCATCACTGTGGATAAATAGCTAGTTCATTTCCTTGGGTGATGTAGGCCTAGTTTCATTTTCATCCAGTACATATGTACACATGTAGCCTACATCCCAAGCAAACCAGACAAATCTATGGAATTAAAATCTTCCGGGTTTGTGGCTCTGGAAGTGAAAGCAGCTACCCACTCATGTCCACTGATTCCAGTAGGCCCTACTGATCTAAACCTGACTCAAGACTTCAAGGGCAATGGTAGAAACATCACTTGTTGGCATGGTAACTTGTTGGCATGGTAACTTGTTGGCATGGTAACTTGTTGGCATGGTAAAAGACAACCTTACTATGGTGGGCACATTCAGTTTCAGGAGGAAGAAAACATATTTTCTGTCTGTGAACTTCTCCCAAGCAAAAAGAACTTGGCTCTTTCGGAGTCTGCATTTGTATAGAATGCTTCTCTGGCCTCTTCTCAAAGCAAGCGAAAAAAAATAATAATGTGCTTCTCCTCAGCTCAGCCCACTCTGTCCCTAAGATCAGAGTGCAGTGGAACGCCTGAAATTGTCCGGCATTGTAACAACATCCAAGGTGGTGTGGATGCAAAGCTTTTTTCTGTCAAACACAAGACAAAAAGAAGGCCCTTGTACATACATACATGTAGCCTATTTTTTTCAACATCATCAATCTGAGTTCCATTACGTCATTTGGCACGCCAAGCCCCCCAATGACAAGTAATCACACACAGACAACAGGCAGCTGTGAGCGCCGTAAAACTCTTACTAACTAAACTAAACTAAACCAAACCGGCAGCTCTTCAACACGAATGTGGTATGACAACTGGTTGAGGTTGTCCAGCAGATTATAAGGTGCTCAACACTCAACTGTCTCATCACTCAATCAGCTAATCAAACAAAACACTGACACTGTGCTTCAGTTTCGAGACCTACTCAAGTGTTGTCTGTCCATATAACAAAGCCAGAGAAAGAGGTCCAAGCCAAATGACCAATCTCAGTCTCAAAAGCAAAATAGATAAAATAGATGTGCACTGTGCCTGCCTGGTTAACTAACTTTGTCAAAACCTTGGTGTAGTCTATAAAACATAAATGAAGATCTTTCTGAACTTCTAGGGCACGTTCTATTGTTGTTCTAATGACATATGTACTATATACATGTATGGCATTCACAGTGCCTTTGCCTTCAATAAATCCACACTGTTCTTGAGCTATTTCTGGGAGAATTTTATTTCGTGTTCTCATCATAATTATTCTGAATAGTATTTTTGTTATGTGGCTCATGAGGCAGATGGTACGATGAGTTTCACATTCGTTTGCATTAGGTTTCTTTGGTAAAGCTATGAAGATAGATTTTGACAAGTCTGATGGAATATGTCCAGAGTCACATGTTTTGTTAAGAAGTTTTGTCAGTGTGGTGATTCCAAAGTCTTCTAAAGCTTTAAATAAAATACTTTAATCATCTCTGTGGTAATGTTGTCCGGTCCTGCAGCTTTCCCATTCTTCATCTTTCGTAGTGCCTTGATAACTTCTTCTTTCATGATTGGTGGTCCCTCGTTGTTATTTTCCACTCTTCTTTGTTCATCTCTTTTGTCATTGTACAGGTCACTGATATATTCTGTCCAACGTTCTAGTATCTTGTCTTTGTCCATTATGATATTCCCACCTTTTGATTTGAGGCATCCTGTTGACCCACGTGTTCTTGTATGGCACACCTCTTTAATTTTTCTGTGCAGATGGATACAAATTTACCAAACTTTTACGGCACTTGCAACACAATTATGGATATATAGATAAGTGCCAAAGATTAGAGGTGTTGTTACAAAAGCAAGTGACAAACACAAAAAAGAAGGAGGAGAGAAAAAGACCCCAGCCGTTTAACAGAAAAAAAGAAGCAAACCATACCAGAACACCCTCCAACCACCCACAACAGAAAATCGGTTTTACGTACTTTTGCATTCAAATGATAGTGGGTGGTTGGCTGGTGCTCTGGTGTGGTTTGCTTCTTCTTTCCTATAAAAAATCTATTGTCCTTATCTCCCCTCCTCCTTTTTTATGTTTGTTACTCTCTTGTAACACTTCTAATCTTCTGGCGCTCATATGACCTTACGCAGTTGCGAGCGTCGAAAAACCTCTACTAAAACTCAAACTAAAAATTCAAATGATAGTAAAGAAACATCACAAGGTTATAACTTTCAAGCTGTAACTAACTATATAATAGAAACAAATTGAAGCAACAAAAAGGAGTTTTCTGTGCTCAATGGCAGTTCTTTTGAAAACAAATGCAATCACATTAATCTTCGGACATGTTATGGTCATCAAGATTTTTCTATAAATTACATAGCATGTGTCCAGCGCATAGATCTCCCTACTCTACATAACAATATGTCCAGCAACAAGGAAGGAACTGACACAAAAACATATCGTGACGATGTTCAGGACGCATGTGACTAGCATCATCACCACCAGGATTGTGAGTAGTGGTATTGTATAACCTACCCGGCCGGTTCCAGGCACCACACAGACGCACTCACACATTATCCTAGGCAAAACTAGGCAGAGGCTAACCATTACACCACCACATTATCTCAATCTGGTACGAGCATCTCTCAAACAACATAACATGGCAAATTTTTCCACAGGAAAACATTCTGTATAGAGAGATATTTCTGGCTCAAAACGGAAGAGGAACACACTGCACCGTAGAAAATAACGTCACGGGGGATGACAAATGCTTTCAAAATCATAGAGATGCAGCACATCCATACACACACCCCTCCTCACACAAAACAGTCCGTCTTGCTTCCACAAAATGACTGTGCAGTGTATAACATTCCAAAAGAACCGAATTAGAATGTTGCGAAAGCGGTAAATATCTCTTTCTCAGACAGGAAAACAGAATGATAAAACACGAGAGGAGGTCTTGCACGTCATAAAGTAACAATATGTCGAGTGATTTGTGAATGACAAAATGACATGCATAAGTACAGATTTGATCAAGACATCATTAGCAAAGAGCCTGATCTTAGATAAATCTTACAGCAAACCCTCCCTTCACGAAAAATAGTAGATCTAGGCTTACTTTAGATTGAATTTATTCTACTCCACCAATCAAACTCATAGAAATTTGAATTAGATTTGCTGTCTTTTCATAAATCAATGTTACAAGTTACACATCAATAATAGCATTGCAGCTTCTATTGAATGATATATATAAAATATATATAATTTTCTCAAATGAACTTTATATATATTCAAATTAAGATTTTGTAATTGTAACAAACAAAATCTTTTGAAAGACTGCTGACTACACATCTGAATCAACATCAAGTTGAAACGCAGAACTCTCAAGATGCATTCGTGACCACATTGCTCGGCTCCCACCCAGACACCAGGGCTCTAAAGTATAATCTTAAACTTCAAGACAACACATACACATCTACCATCAGTGATCATTTAAATTGTGATTGTTCATCAAACTAAGAAGAAAAAAAAATGGAAGAAAAAACATAAGGACCCAAACCTGGAACGAGGTATAATTACATCTATCAATCGAGAAAATAGAAATGGTTACAACAAGAAACCTTCCACACCATAAAAAAAAACCAAATAAATCATGAAGAGTTGATACCATTCAAAAATACGACTGCAGAAGAGAAAATGGAACAGTCTGACTATCACATGCGCATAAATAAAGATCTATTCCTTATTCTTTGAACAGGTTAACAAACCATGCAACAAATCATTAAAACAAGACATTTTAACAAATTAACAAATACATTTTCCAACGGCTAACTTCCAGGTCAAGGTCACCTCTTTTTAGCATCCAGACGACTGAAGCAGAATTGACCTGCACAACATACACTGACCTTTCAACTTTCTCTTTTTTGTTGATGGTTTTTGGCAAAGAAGATAAACCCATTGCAGGTGATATAACAAAGAAACCCAACTAAACTATTCACTCTCGCACACAAATCATCTCATCATACTTTTGGATATTCGAAATGGTAGACAAAAATATGTACATCTTGCCCAACCCTAGAAACACAACAACAAAAGAAAACCATTTTGTTGACACTATGTCACACCTCATCTCACACCTGACTCTGTTGTTGCCGTGGCGACGTGGGGCCTCCTTGTCTTGGTGATGGTTTGTCTGACCCACCTGGCAGGTTCCTGGCATACGGAGGCAACGGATAGCGTCCATCTTAGGAGAGAAGAAAGATGAAACATCTTTTTAGTAAGGTTTTACGGCACTCGCAACTGCATAAGGTCATATGACCACCAAGGGATGGATGTCAACAGAGAAGTCCAAACGGGGAATCAGGCTTACTCTGCTCACCTCTCTAGCCTCAACAGCACAAAGTCTGCTTTGACTATCAAGGCAACACGGAAATAGCAATTCACAACAGAATGACAAATATACAAAAGAAATAGAGGGAAAAATGAAGAAAGTAAGGATGAGGAAAGAAAAAGCAGCAGTTCCCCTCATGTTGTTCCATCACAGTATGAGCATGACATTGATAAATCAGCCCATTTACAATTCTACTGTGCATAAGAACACGTTAATGTCCCCCCCTTTGGGAATGGCCTATAGACAATTCAACTGCCGGGGGGGGGGGGGGGGGGGGGATGACACATTGGTTAGGCATTGGCTTGGTGGAGAATAATAAAGCTGAGTACACTAAAAATGAAAACAGTTAATCTGAAAACAGTGGTAAACCAAAAATAAAATCCCCAATTTGTTTTTTCTTTTTCAATTTGAGTAACCTCACTAAACCAAAAACCCAGCTAAACCAAAGGAAATCTCGTGGTCCCCCAGATTTCCGAATAAGCAGACTTTACTGTACAGTAAATGATCACAATCAAATCAAAACTTGTCCACAGCCTCTATGTCTCTTCTTGGTTTTTCAAGTACAGAAAAACATTTACATTGACACAATAACAGAAAGGCCATTTGCAGGGAACAAGCAAGATAGACAGACAGAAATAGCAGAGGGAGAGCAAAAAAATAGGGACAACTTGTGCTGCCCTCCGACCAACTGCTTTTTTTTTTTGGCTAAAGACAACTAAAGACAAATAAATACAGTCTAGCACACACACAGCAAACAGATTCTCAGGTCTCGAATGTCTATGTGCATGTACTGTATTTAAAACATGTACAAGAATTTGTGCACAAAATTTGTGCGCTTAACAAAAAGACTTTCATCACTTCAAGCTTTTTTGTCGTTTTAAGAGTTTTACAGCACTTGCAACACACACAATAAGATCATAAATGCCGAAGATTAGAGGTGTTGCAAGAGAGTAACTAACACAAAAAAGAAGGAGGGGAGGTCAGGATGATAAGATATTTGATTGGAAAGAAGGAGCAAACCAAACCAGAGCACCCGCCAACCACCAACTCACTTCAGGTTTTAGTTTAGTTTTAGTAGAGGTTTTACGGCGCTCGCAACTGCATGAGGTCATATGAGTGCCAGAAGATTAGAAATGTTACAAGAGAGTAACAAACATAAAAAAGAAGAAGGGGAGATAAGGACGATAGTCTTCAGGTTTGAACTCAGATGGCAAAAAGTATTAAAACTAGAAGCCTCAAACTGTGCGTGAACACTCCCCTCACCTGGTCTCGGCTCCATCCCGCGTGGGGAGTCTCGCCCCATCGAGGGAGACCCTGACCCACCGCGGGCCATGTGGGGTGGTGGTGGGGGGCCTCCTCTCATGGGTGGTGGGAGCATGTCGGGGGGAGGGAGTCGGAACGGCGGGCTCCTCCTGTCCATCATGTGTGGTGGGGGCGGGCGGCGGTCGTACGGTGGCGGGGATCGTCCATCAAGCATCCCTGGTGGTGGCATACGAGGCGGTGGGGAGCGGGCGTCTCCGTACGGGGGCATGCGGGGAGGGGGAGAGCGGGCGTCAGGGGGTGGGGGCCTCATGCCGGGGGGCAACATCGGGGGTCCGCGGCGGTCCATCGGGGGAGGAGGCAGGGGCCCTCGGTCAGACCGCGGGGAGGCCAGGAAGTCATCGTCACGGTCCCGGTCTCTGTAGGGGTTTAGTTTAGTTTTAGTAAGAGTTTTACTGCACTTGCAACACAGTAAGGTCATATAAGTGCCGAAGATTTAGAGGTGTTACAAGAGAGTGACAAACACAAAAAAGAAGGAGGAGATAAAGACAATAGATGTTTGATAGGAAAGAAGAAGCAAACCACACCAGAGCACCCACCAACCACCCACACTGTAGCGGGGTTGTTTTGTTTTCGTTCTAGTAAGACTATTACAGCATTTGTAACACAATTAGGTCATAGTGCCACAGATTAGAAAGTGTAACAAGAGAGTAACATGACCAGAGCTGGTAGTAACGGAGTACAAGTACTCCGGTACTTGTACTTACGTTACAATTTTCGGTACTTTTACTGTACTCCGGTACATTTTGAGAATCAGTACTTTTACTGTACTCCGATACTTTTTATAAAAGTACTTTTGAGTACTTTTCAAGTACATTTTGAGTACTTTTGAAGCTTAATGAAAGAATAAGTGCCGACATTTCCGATCATAATTTACGGAACAAACACCCGGGCGGGCACAGCCGATCAACCAAGAGTTAAAAGTTGAGATTAAAGAACTGCCCGTCGCGTCAAAGATCAGCCACTCTTGTGAAAGTGATCACATGTGCTGTAAAACTCCATGAAACGGTACAATGATCCCCAGACGGGATCACACCGAGGTGTGAACAGACAGATGGGCGTTTCTTTTCCCCAAACATCGCACTCGCATCTGAGCTCGCCACCTGAACTTTCATCCCTCGCTGGGTGGGTTGGGCCTACAAGTTCGCTCCAGGCAGGATCACATCGAACAGTGAACTCTTTCCTGACCATTGAAGTTGAAGGCAGTTTTTCTCTATTCCCGAAATTGCGAGACAGCCTGAATTTTAATTGGTGTGGTCACAGCGTAATGGTACGTAACGACAAAGGCGGGGGGACTCAATCAGAGATGGAAGGCTACAATTTTTGGACAGGTAAAGGGGAGGGGCAACTGGATAAACGTAGATAAAGATCTCGAGACGATATGCTAATGAGTGTACGGTATAATATTATGGCTTGCCTCATGCCACCATGCTACTGTGATTGGTCATCAAGGATGACCACTCTTTGCTCGCCATATGTCATAAACCTACCCAGGGGTCACGTCAGTTCTTGGGTCACTGTAGATTCTTCCTTAGCTTCGTCGGGCTAAGATCCCATATTTCCCTTGCTCCCGAGCACTGGGATCTTAGGCGGAGACTACTGTAGTAGAGAATTTTTGGTTACACTACACTTACTAGACTCTAGGAAATTACATGTAGGCCTATTTTGGTTTGCCGTGGGCGCCGTGGACTACACAGTGTGACCAAACTATGTCTAACCACTATTATAATCAGTTGAAACTGAAATCGAGTTTTCAATGTATATCAATCTAACAATTTTTTAGGCTACCTAAATTTCTTTTTTCCTTTTTTTAGTGGTTTGTGCTTAAGACTACCTTGATTCCTTGAGGATTTGTTAAAGAATTCAAAGCACTTTTTTTTTGCTGGCCATTTTCATCAATTTTTTATTTTCTTAGGTCAACTTTGTCTCTACATTTTCCAATTTTGATACTTTTCCTACTTTCCGACCCCTAGGACTGACTTACATTAGATCATATCGTCTTGCTCAAACAAATTCTATTCATAATATCACTTACTCACTAGTTGCGTCTGTTTGTTTGCTGGGTTTTTTTTTCAATTTCACGGACAATTTCCACCTACGTTCAGTGTGTATATTCAAATGCTTTGTATACTGTTTACATTATTAGTAATAAATGGCCGAATTTGTCAAATATACTAGATATGTTATTCAATATGATGTTTTGCATTTTGAAGTGTTTTAGCATATTAGCAGAAAGTACTCAAAATGTACTCATAAGTACTTTTTTAAAAAGTACTTGTACTCAAGTACATTTTACAGGAAAGTACTTTTACTGTACTTAAGTACATATTTTAGATTGTACTTAAATTTGTACTTAAGTACCTTTTTAAAAGTACTTTAACAGCTCTGAACATGACTACATGATTAAAAGTGTAGGGAAAAAGGAAGATGGACAGAGAGTGACATGATGGAAAGGAAGGAAACAGGATCTATCAGTGGCCCCTCTAGCTATCCACATTTAAGTTTGTACATTGGTAGAAAAAATGTTCAAAGCTTGATCTATATAAGAACATGAAATACGTCTAAGGATTCAGCATTGGAAGGTGGGGGGGTAGGGGAAAGAGGAAATTGAAATAAAGGGATTCACATTGAGAGAGAGAGAGAGTGTGTGGTACCACTGTCTACGGTGATACAGACAGTTGAAATACGAGAGATTACAAAGTACATGATAAGAGGTCACGACCCTCACCTGAGATGGAGCGGAGGCAAGGGAGGTAACACACCATTGGGTCCTGGTCCGGGGCCCCCTGGGGGCGGCATCGGGGGTCCGTTCAGCATACCTGTAGGCACAAGAGAACAGAGGTGGGGGTTAGTTTTGTTTCAGTAAGTTTTACAGCGCTCACAACTGCAAAAGGTCATATGGGTGCCAAGGGGTGGATGTCAATAGAGAAGTCCAAACGGGGAATCAGGCTTACTCTGCTCACCTCTCTAGCCTCAACAGCACAAAGTCTGCTTCAACTATCAAGGCACCCCGTAGTTCACAAGAGAGTGACAAACATATAAAAGAAGTAGAGGGAAAATGACGAAAGTAAGGATGAGGAAAGAAAAAGCATTAGAGCGTTAGAGATAGAATGACTCTGTTGGTACGACAAATCCAGGGTAAATTCTAGCAATTATAATTTCATGCTGGGGGGAAAACGAAAACAAATAGTTTCGGGTTTTTTTTAAGTTTTAGTAAGAGTACAATTACATTTGCACCACAAATAGTTCATACAATAGCCAAAGATTTGAGATGTTTTTAGAGAGTAACAAAGAAAAGAAGGACAATCGATGTTTCATAGAAAAGAAGGGAAAAAAACCCACACCAGAGCGGCCGCCAACCACCCACTGGACACAAACACCAGACACTTAGAGACACTGACAAAAGACACACACAGAAGACACAAAGGTCAAACACAAGACAAACTACATACAAAGACTGGTATCTAACATGGGCTTTACCAAACACATCTTCCAACAACCCATGTGCTTGTCATTCTTTGAGTGCGTGTCTGAGACTAGAGTATGTATGTTAGCATGAAACAGAGCATATGTGCCTGGATACGTGTGTGTTTGTATGTATGTGTGCATGTGTATTGTCATTTGCGTGTTCGTGATTGTATAGAACCCACGGTTCATCTGAATTTGTGTAGTACAGATAATTTGCACCATGGCCTATGCTAGTTTTGTTTTACAGGGCTTAAGACTTGGATCCTCTTGTGCATGAATGCATTTTTGTTTCAGCGAATCAATCGTTGTATATCAGTCACAAGACTATGTCCAAACTTAGGCTCAGGTCTACAAAAACACCTGTCATCCTATCTTTCTAAATATCTTCTCAGACCTGGGGGTGGCATTCCTCTAGTGGGCAGCGGTCGTATCAACCCGCCGGGACCCATCACCTGGCGCCGCTCCAAGTCTGTCAGTCTGCAGGACACAGGAATGTTTGTAATATGACAATTAGGAACACATACGTAGAGAATAGAGAGGAAAAGACTAGGACAATACAGGTTTAAACAGAGCCTTCCAGCAGAGAAATGAAAGGCAAACCATGGTCACTGATGTCTGTTTCAAACATGGTACATAAAGAAGAAGAAGAACAATATAGCAATCTGTCTCTACAGAATTATGCAAATTTACTTGGCCAAATTATGCAAGACAAATGCAAATTTATGCAAAAATTATAATGCAAGTTACCGTAGCGCCATTCACGACATGTTTTGCACTTTTTCAACAAGAATTTTCATGTTTTAGATCTATGTACAGAAGAATTGAAAGCAGAACATATCAGTATAAGTAGTTTTTTTAGTGCGTAATTGAAAAGATATACATCACTAAGAAAAAAAACTATCAAAAAATATAATCTCTGTAACTTTCAGCTGTGTAGAGGAGGAAAAATGTTCTTAATTTTTAAAAATAATAATAATTTAGAAAAAAACCCAACCCATCTGGACCTTTGATGCTGGCACATCACTAAAACTAAAACCAGGGACACCTGTCAAACATGAAACATCAGCAGACACGAGAACAACTTTTGATGGATAGAAAAATTGAAAATGCTCCAGAACAAAAATCCCTAACAAGGGAAACAACCAGCTTTTCACTTAAAATAGACCTTTTACTGTGATTACTTCCCTTTAGTCGAGGTGTCACATTGTTTCGTGAAATATGAAAAAACGTGAAAAGCCCGGGGAATCCAAATTTATGTAAATGTTGCAGAATTATGCGAAAAAACGCGGCCTCGCCATCCAAAGGGGACAGATTGCAGGATTAGACAAAACAGACTCACTATCAGATTAAGTGACTAAGAAAGCGATGGTAACGTATTTCGTTATTTCATTCTAAAATTCTTCTATTCATATGATCTATATTGAACAGACTGAAAAGGTTCCAAGATTCTCCTTTCTTTTTCTAACTTACTGACAATGATGTATTGCGATGTGAAGATGCAGAGTAGTGCTGTTGTAGTTGTAGAGATAACACCGTGTCTCATTTCTCATTTCTTTTTTGTTTGAGTAAAGAGAGGAACATCGATACAATGACTCCCCTTGGCTTGGATAAAGACTAGACCAACAGAGAGACAAAGCAGAGGCAGAGAACAAATGTTAGTCCTGTCAGTGGCACCCTCCAACCACCTATCCCCCACAAACCTGACAAGAACTGGACTCTTGCCAGTCTCAGAAACAGGACAGAAGGACAAGGAGCGACAGAAGGACAAGGAGCAGAAACAGAAGAAAACAATGTATTTTAGTTTTAGTGAGAGTTTTTTATATTTTTTAAATAAATATAGTAGAGGGTTTTACGGCGCTCGCAACTGCATAAGGTTATATGAGCGCCAAGGGGTGGGTGTCAACAGAGAAGTCTTTACAGGGAATCAGGCTTATTCTGCTCACCTCTCTAGCTTCAACAGCACAAAGTCTGCTTCGACTATCGAGGAACCCCAAAAATAGCAGGTCACAAGAAAGCGACAAACATACAAAAGAAGTAGAGGAAAATGACAATAGTAAGGATTAGGAAAGAAAAAGCAGCAGTTCCCTGTTGTAGATCAGGCACAGTTATGAGCGTGACATGATGAATCAGCCCATTTACAATTCTACTGAGCTTGAACGAGAAATATCCCCCCTTTGGGAATGGCCTAAAGACACTACAGTCAGTGGCAATACCCCGGGGGGGGGGGGGGGGGGGGGGGGTGTGTCAGAGTTTTACGGCACTTGCAACACAAGAAGGTCATGCAAGTGTAGAAGATTAGAGGTGCAATAAGAGAGTAACAAACACAAAACAGGAGGAGAGATAAAGACAAAAGATGTTTAATAGGAAAAAAGGAGCAAACAACACCAGAGCACTTGCCAACCACCCACGTATAAAACAAGCAGAGAGCAGTATCATAGTTTTTGGCAAGATGAACAAGAAACAGAAATAAAAACAAGCCAGAGATAATTTGTGGTAGGCGCTGCCCCTTACTTCTGTCTCAGCATGCCTGCCTCGTGTCGCGCTTCCTTCAGCTCACGCTCCGCTGCCCTGGCTGCCAGCTGGAAACACACAAAGCTTTACGGTCATGCCAGTCTAACAATGGGCAATAAAACGGTACTTAATTACATTGCAAATGCAAAGACATCTCAAGATAACGTCTTTGAGACACACTTATAACGTGTGATTAGATTTCATCAGATCCAGGAACGCAGCTCACCTCAAGTTTACAAAATCTCAGACTCATCCAACACCTACACTGTACCTTAGAGGACTCTATATTCTAAGACAACAGTACTTTCCCCGGCACTTTGCAGAATCAAACTCAATACCATAACCCTTTGAGTCCTCACCTTCTCCCCCCTCCCAGACCCCTCGCCCATTCATCCAGTCTCTAATAAATATATAAATACTAATGCTCACAAACAAGACCTTTAGGAACCAACAAAAAGAGAATGTACTCGGATTCTTTTAAACAAAATGTTCAGTTGTCTTCATAAGGAGCAACAGACCTTTAAAATAACCAGAAAATATTTGTATTGTAACATAACCACTTAATCCCTGCCTTCACCGTCATTATTTCACTCAACAAAAATGCACAAGACGATAGACCACACAAATATTCACCCAGTTCTCGTGAGCTTTCTTCTCATTAGCTGCGATCTGAAAAACAAAGTATATGTGATAATGAATGGCTTATACAAAGATAAAATAATACTATATTTGAACACCGTTCTTCGTTGCAGACAGGAAAACATTGTGACATGGCATCTTTGATCACAAAAAAATACCCTGAGACAACATCTTCGAACTACTGTTTCTTGAAACATTAAGGAGAAAATCTGAGTTTACACATATATCTAAAATTTTGATCCCCCCCAAAAAAAAATCTTTTCAAAAGCATACACCACTTCTTGGCATTACAGCTAAAACAGTTAAGACCAATCACAAGTTGCTCCAGGTTAATCAGATATTAAAACTTACTCCATGTCCAATCAAGCCCCCCCCCCACCCCCACCCCCCAAAAAATTAAAACAACAGCCCATCATTAACTTACTTCAAGCCCTACCAAACAGACTAAAACATTTTAAACTGTTTAAAACTGCTCCCAGCATAAACTTTTTCCATCCTCCAGTTATCACCTAATACCATTTATAAACTGCTCAGCACACTACAAGGTACAAACCTGTCCTCTGAAGTCTCTCTCCGATGACGACAGCTCTCGCTTCAGGCTCTCTGTCTGGGTCCTAGAACAAAACAGCAGGTTTTAGTCTTTTTGAAACATGAGATGTCGTCTTAGTCTTTTTGAAACATGGGATGTCTTCTTAGTCTTTCTTGAAACATGAGATGTCGTCTTAGTCTTTCTTAAAACATGAGATGTCGTCTTAGTCTTTCTTGAAACATGAGATGTCGTCTTAGTCTTTCTTGAAACATGAGATGTTGTCTTAGTCTTTCTTGAAACATGAGATGAGACGTCACATCTAATTATCGATTTTTCATTTCTCCGTTCACCTCAGGATATAAAAACTTAGTCTGATGATTTCATGATAATCAAACAATGCACAGGTCATCCCAAGATAAACAAACTTCTCCCTGGTGGTCTCACAATAAAACAACTTCTCTCAGATCATTTCCAGATTGAAAAAAAACAACCCTATTTATATACATCACCTCCGGATTGAGAAATTTCTTCTGGGATCCCCTCAGAACAAAAAAACGTCTCTGAGCCGCTTCATTTACTCTATAATCTCAAAACACTGGACGGAAAACTGACAAATGCAGCATGAATCTGATTTAAGTTATTCAGCAAGAAAGAGACAGTGGTCGAAAAACATCATTACCACAAATTGACGAGTAGGCTATCAACTGAAAGGGGTGATCAACCCTTACAGCTGAGGACAGGAACTACAAGAGAAACAAATATAGCAAAACAATTTTACATCCTTGTCAGCAGCAGCAGCAGCAGCAGCAGCAGCAGCAGCAGAGCATCAACAGGATCTTCATTATCATCACTATCATCCTCCCCTACGCTCTCTTAATCATAACTGTAAACAGCATTTAACTTAAAGTGCCTCTCAGATTCATAAAAATATCTTCTCAACAACATTTTGGTCTTAACATTTCTGAGTATATTTTTCTTTTCAACTGACTGACAAAATTTAGCACCTCCTAAAAACAATCAGGGGAAAAAAATCTTTGTTTCATAAATCCCCACCCCCTCCCCCTTTTTGCAATAAATAATTACAGTTTAACCAATCACAGACATTTCCTCAAACAGTAAACATCAAGTGACATACGGGCCCGACACTCACCGTAACACTTCCACTTCCTGCTGTATGGAGCGCGTCGTCTCGTCGGCCGACACCAGTTTGTTGAGGTTCTGTTTCTTCAAGGCCTCCTGTTCTCCCAGCTCCCTGCAAGCACAACCCAAAGACACACAGGCTCATTTCCTTAGCCTTTCCAAAAAAAAGAAATATCAATGTTCACTCTCATACTAGAAGATACATTCTCTCTAAAGTTAAGTATCTGCTACTCCAACAGAACAGCAGGCCATGACGGAGATTGTAGAAAAAATAATACAATATTTTGACCCTGCTTGGATTTGAACTCAAAACTTTCATGTGCAGGTTAAGTTTTCAAAAATGTTTAACACCAAAATAAACACAAGATAGGTTACTTCTAACATACGCAATCTAGTATTCTGACAGGACACTGATAAATAATGGATCATGCAACAATGAAGAGATCAAACTTCACCTCCGGGATCTATTAAAACAGAATTAATCTTTTTACCCACAACCACCCACTCTACCTCCTACACCACCACCCACCTCCGACATTCTACCCCCCTGCACCACCACCTACCTCTGACACTCTACTTCCTGACACCACCACCCACCTATGACACTCTACCCCCCTACACCACCACCTACCTCTGTAGCTGCATCTCCTTCTCCTTGAAGTAAGAAGAGAGCACGTTGAGCTTGGTCTGTGCCTCCTGACACTGTCTCTCCGCCTTCATCTTGTCGGCCATGCTGCTCTCCACGCTGCGACGTGAGCCTTCCAGTTGTTCTGAAGCAAACATCAACAGTGAAAAAATGTAAATGTTTAAATCTTTCAATTACAAAATAACCACAACAATAAATACCGTCACATAAGAACTATTTTATCCAAAATGCCTCTTTATTAAAGTACACTTTGGACAAAATACTCGTAGTTCTGAGGCCACCATATATAGATTATAAAACAGCTATGATTGTAAATGTTTGGACTGCGTTGCATTGTGTGTAATATAAAATAGCTTACAAATGTTTTTATTGTGTTTAAGATAAAAATAGCTCTGACTGTAAATGTTTTGATTGTAAAAGTTTTACGTCCCCAATAAAATTTTACCGATTTAGGGAAAGGAAAAAAATCAGGATACCGCAACATATTTTAGGTAGACTGAATATAAGACTGAATGGAGAGCTATGACTGCCAAATCATCCTGCTTTTATTTCATCTGGCAAGACACTCTCCACACAAAAAGGCAAGACTTCCTCTTATTCTGAAGCAAACAGCAACAATGAAAAAAGTAGCTACAATAAATAAAAGTATTGAAAGTAAATGTTTCGCCACCCTATCGACACCAATGAGATTATTAAAGAGGAGGGCTGCTTCTTCCATGCAAAGGTCAACCAAGGGCAAGTTGAATGGATAGAGGAACCCAGCTGATGGATGGAGATTCGCAATAAAATAACTTTCCCACTCGTAGAACGACCTCACGTCTTTTGTGTACAACCTCTATCTGTTATGCTCTAGCCTGCTACATCACAATTTAACCCTCTGCATGTCAAAAGTTAACCCTTTACAGGCCAAAGTTCATCCTCTACATATCAGTCAAATCCCCTACACACCACAGGTCAAACCTCCACATACCACAAACTAGTCCACACATATCAGTTTAATATTCTGCACACCACAAAATAACCCTTAACACAACACCACAAGCAAACTCTCCACACGCCACATTTTAACCCTCTACAAGCTACAAGTTAACCCTCTACCTTCCAGCTCCCGACGAGCCTCCAGCTCAATGGTCAGTTTGTTGGACAGTACGTCTTTCTCCTCCTCCACAGCCTTCAGAGAAGCGTTCACCTGAAAGACAAAAGGTCAGGGGTCATAATTACAACAGGGTCATGCACTGTAGGTGAATGATCTCTCATGCGCATCCTCCATCATGACATGACCTCTATGATGACCTTCAGTGAAATCTCTGGCATCGCACCACCCCGACTAGGAACGTCTTTGTCACAGCTTTAGTGATATAATAATAGAAACTGTGTTCATTGCCTTTAGTAGCGTATTATCGCGTGTTATACAATGATGATGCATGGTAATAAGTACATATTTGTGTAGGCTATTTATATATAAAAGTACATCAGAACAGACACCAAGAACAACTAACGGGACAATTAGAGAGAGCACATAGGCCAGTAAGGTCAAAAGTATCAGTCACTTCTTGTGACAAGAGAAAACATTTTTTTCCTTCGTTTAACGATGTTGCTCATTCATATACAAGAAATCATTAAACGCCATTCTCATCAAAGGGTATTAAGAAATTACAGATCTGATATTAACAAAATAAAAACAAGAATTTACCAGTATTTACTAGTTACAGTTGGGGGTTTTTTCTAACTATACCTTTGACACATCCGTCATGGCTTTCAACTTCTCTTGCATGCGCTCTGGACTTTCATCTGAGAATTAAGAAAAATCAAATTAAAATATTTTTTAAAAATTCAGATAAATTTACCCATAACTATGAAAACTCCTTATCAAGTTCCAATAAATGTTCAAAGGAAAGTTTTTGTAAAAACTCCTAACTGATCGACGTACAGTGTACCCCGCTGCAGAGTATACCCACACCCATACAAAAAAACATATTTTTTCCTTAAAGGCCCCAGTCTTTTTCCTCCCTGCAATTACCATATTCCATTCATAGGCCTTACATTCTCTCACTCTTCCCCCATCTTTCTTTTTCAAAGCCCCAATCCACAAGACTTTCTCTTTAAGCATTAAATCCTTTCTCCACTCGCGTACACATGCACACACACATGTACACATGTATATACACACACACACACACAGTCTCTTAACAGAGGGGGGGTGGGGGGTAAAGAGCTTATCTTCACTTCAACAGTCTAGTCGCCACCTCTCACTGCCATCATGAGTCACTAACAAGAAGTGGTGCCTCATACAACACTTACCTTCCTGGTCAGCGTCTTCACCCTCAAAGGACTTGAGCTGAAGGAAGCAGTCGTTCAAAATCTGCAGGGAGAGTGGTGGTGGGA